GGTAGAATTTTTACAATCGAAAATTTACGTCCAAAAAAATCATACTCCATGTAATTTTACATCTAAAAATTTACATGAGATATGACTTTTTCGAATGTAAAATTTCGAATTTTTTTGAAAATTTCTTAATAAAATGATGAAAATTACGTTGAGAAATTTGTATCGTAAAAATAATAAATGTTAATGAAATAATTGATTTTTTGTTTAAAAAATGCGAGTTAGACGTCTTTTTAAAGGTTCACGTTTAACGTATTTTTAACTGTTTTCGATATATGTTTGAACTATTCGATATGTCCATAATGTAATTCTTGAAATAAGTTTCAAAATGATACAAATAATTTGTAGATTCGATTAGCGTACGATCATCGGAGAATTTTTAAAATTTGTATATTTCGAAATTCAAATTTATTTTTATTTTACTCCTGTTTGGTGGAGATTAAAATCAAATTTTTAGTAAATTTAGGTACAAATTAAACAGTTATGAATTTCATGAAAATATGTTATTAAAATTAATTGTTAACTTTGATTCAGATTAAAATTTAAATTTCAATCGATAACAAACGTGATTTAAAAAAAAAAAAAATTGAATCTCAAAAGTTGGGAGGCACCTGCCCCCCAGGACCCCCCTTGGGTCCGCCCATGACTGTTTGAACAGGGCAAACAACGAGGCAATATGGCACCCCCCATAGGTGGGGGGCGCTTGTTTGGTCGGCCCTGTTCATCTAGCATGGTCCGTTGTCTGATATAGTGACATAAAGGTCAAATGAATAGTGACTTTCTCATACGTATACCTAATTTCCATCAGCACAGATTTATGCAAGTTTGCTCAGCTACGAAAAGGGTTCTCATCGAGCTGTTTGTGGTGATATAATTTATTGGGAAAATCGTTTTTTGATGATATAATTTGTTGGGAAAATCATTTGATGTGTTCATAGGATTTAACTGCCATTAAATATCACTTATACTTAGATATCATTATTTCGTATTTTAATGTTTTGATATTTTAAATGTGAATTTCTTTAATTATCTCCCTTCAATTATGTTTTTTCTACAATAAACCATTCCTAAAAGTTTACATTTTTTAGTATTGTGATTCATACGCAGTGTCTCTCATAGTCAGTCTATGTGATATTCTACGCAACTTAAAAGCACAACATATGGCTATTCCCTTCAAAAAAAATTATGAAAAAAAGTCAAATGAACATTTAATGTCATGTGGAACGCCACATAGATTACGTATGATAGGCGCTCATTATGATAGGCGCTCATTATTATAATTTTTTTTTCCAATTCTATCTATAATATTAGGCCTTGTATGGGAGGGATTAAAATCGGATGAAAATTGAAAATATAGTCGTTATTGTTGACTTTTATTAGACGAGTGGGACCCAATAACGGCCATATTTTCAATTTTAATTGGATTTTAATCCCTCCCGAACGGGGCCTAAATATCACATCAAGTGATGATCATTTTTTTGACGATTTTAACTATATTACAATCAAATTTGCTACTTGTACACACTTGGTACACAACCCTCTCATATGTATGTGGGGCCCACAATGAGATCCACATAGTTGGACCCAGACACATGTGAGAAGGTTATGTATCAAGTGTGTAAGTGTAGTATTTCTCATATTACAATTCAATTATTTCAATAATATCTTATTTTTTGTTTTTCAATATATAATTGTCAAATGGCAACATCCATTAACTTGTGCATGAATACAAATCAATTTGTATCAACAATAGCTTTATGAATCACTGTTAAAAGGAGAAGCCTTCCACAACTCGAATGTGGCAACATATAAGATTTTCTCGTGCATCCGGTTCTTGAGCCGCATGCTTGAAGTAGCTGTTAGGGCTTAATTGCTTCTTCTTTTTTCTTTTTCTTTTTTTCATTTATTCAGCTCCAGTACAATCCTAAAACGTGAATACCTAGCAATTACCACGTGATACCAACATTGACTTGTGCACACAAATCCAAAGCAATCGGTACCAACACTATATAGGAGTCGCAGCTAACAAAAGAAAACTTTGCATGATTCCATTGTGACAACGTATGAGGTTTTCTTGTCATTGCTCCTTAAGAGTGCTTTATCCACTACAAAACACTTGCTACAACTCCAACGTTGTTGCACCATCAAAGAAATGTTGTACTTCGAGTAGGACATGACCTAAGTTTGAAGAAATGTGCCCGCAATCAATATTAATTGCTTGCCTTTCCCATAGTAGAGAGGTGCCATCCACTTGGGACTAATGTGTTATAAAGTTGAAAGGTCTAGAATTTTAATATTAAGAAATAAAAGTGAGGATCAACTTGTTACAACCCTTATAGATTGAGGCCTCACTGCAATTTTCTCTATAATACTCAAATAATTATGGCAAGTAATTGGTAATATATTATTGATACAGAGCTGTTGAAGCGTAAGAACATAGAATAAGAATACCAATCTTGGAAATGGAAACTTGTGCTAAATACCACAGATCCCTGTGTACAGGCGCATGTTAGCCCCACCCACTAACCCTAGTCTACGCAAAAACTCCACTTCCCATTCTTTTACGTGAGTTGTTGCATAATTGGGTTGGTAGTACTTGTTTTATGTTTATCCTTTCTTCATTGTTTTTGGCATTTCTTTACTGCACCTAATCTCTTTGTTTTCTGTCTGGGTCTGACCCATTTATTCATTTGCGGTGGTGGCTGTGTGCGTTTAATAAAGTTCTGAGTTGGAAGTTTCGATCTGTTGTAACAATAGAGAAGAACGAGAGATTTGAAGAGATGGAGTTATAAAAAGACTGCTTCTGTTCAGTAGTCTCATCATTATTCTTTTTTACTTCTCCTTTGACCACCTGAGTAAATAAAAGGTGAAAAAAGTGAAAACCCATAATCAGTCTATTTCAAGGGTGGAAGCTTTTCTTGTTTTTCGAAGTGAAAGTCCTTGCATTTTTCATTTTGAAGTGCTGCCTATTACTTTCTTTTTGTTGGGCTTTTTGGAAAGAGAGACTGAGAGTTGGAAGAAAGAAAGCAAGAAATTAAAGAGATCAAAAGCAGTAGAAATGATGCTGGCGTTTGGAAGTCCGTGTAGCAGTATTCACACAAGCAGTAGTTACAATGCTTTACTCAAGGAACTTCAGGTCTCTCTCTCTCACCCCTATGTGTATACATTATTTGATAATTGAATATGTGGAATTACTTTTATCTTTTGTAAAAAATACAACCGTTTCTAGTTTTCACTAAGATAACTTGAATTTTTCCTTTTTTCTTTCTTGTGGTTTTCTTGGCATCTTGGTGTTTGAATTGAAGATGGGTATTTTTTGTTTGAGGAATGAGTTAAATTTACATAAATTGTGTTAAGTTTCTTCCACAAATTTACCCCATTTTTTATGAAGTTCCTTTTTCCAACAGTAATTTTATGTTATTGAGGGTGAGAATAAGTTCAGTTTCTTTCATGGAGTCGAAAAGAATATGGGATACAGGCTGTGTTATGTACCCACATATAAGCCCCCTGTGAAATTTTGACTCCATTGTTGGCCTCATTAAATTTGGGTTTTCTGTGTATTTATATTTCTAAATTGTCGTTTTCCTTTTATATGAAGTTTGACTAAAATTGGTAGCTTATGGTGGTTAAATAAAAGTGAATTTTTACAAATTTGTTTGATTTAACAAATTATGATTATGATTCTAGTTATTTTATGAACTTTTATGGTGGAATAGTGTTTATGGCGTGATATTAATCACTTGTTTTGACATTGGTATTTTGATTAGAAAATATGGACTGAAATTGGTGAGTCTCAAGCTGATAAAGACCGCATGCTGTTGGAGCTTGAGCAAGAGTGCTTAGAAATTTACAGAAGAAAGGTTGATGAGGCTGCCACTGCCAAGGTTCATCTTCATCAATCTGTTGCCGCCAAGGAAGCTGAGCTTGCAATGCTCATGGCTACTCTTGGAGAGATCCATGTTAATTCACCGGTAATTGAAACTCCGTGGGAATTGAATCAAGCATCATGAATTTTTTTTATTTTATTTTTTAATTCCTTTTATTCTGTGCCTCATATTACCTTTGTTATGTGATACATTTGGATTTAGTCTTCAAATGAGCTTAATTTTAATGTTCTTTTCCTTTAGCTTCCATATTTTTAATATGGGTAATTGGCGCAAAATGTCACTACCTTTGAAGATTTTTTGTGGAAAACGTCCCTACCATTCGTTTTTTGGCGTAGAACGTCCCTACCTTTCACATTCTTTGTGCTGAACGTCCTTTTCACCAATTTTTAATATAATATGACCAATATACCCTCCTATATAAATAAAACAAAAAAGAAAAGAAAAGAAAAATAAAAAATAAATTGCAATTTGCTCCTAAACTTTTTTTAAAATGCAAATCAGTGCAAAACTCATGAAAATATTAAAAATTATAAAAATACGCTCTCTCTTCTCCTCCACCTCCCTCCATCACCTCCACCGTCTGATGACCACATCTACTCTTCTGCACCGCCACAACCTCCGGACATTGGTACCAACACATTCTCCTCAACACCCTCTACAATTCCATCCCAAGAATTCCCCATATCATCCAATAATCCGGCAGAAATCAGCAAGCAAAATCAGCTATTCGAAAAATGGACAAATTGCTGGAAGTCGCACCTCTGGCCAGCAACAGGATCGCGGACCACCACCATCCGGTTGCCCATACCCAAACGACCTCAACCATGTGGGAAATTCATCCAAAACACTTATCCAATAGGTTCAATTTGAAACTGAAAATAACGCAGTTGCGACTATCGCGCCGTGCACTGAACTTGGCTGATTCGGATGTCGTCCTTTGACCCATGGTCGCGGACCACTCTATTCAGCACCTTCTCATCATGGCGAAATTATTCCACCCATGGGTCTTCCACAATTTTGCCTGGATTCGTTAGAACTTCAGGTCAAAATCCAATTACAATTTTTGAACATAGTATTTATCCTACAAATTGAATGGCTTCAGGTCAAAATTGACCTAGACCCATGGTTGGGCTAGGTGCGCCTAGTGAAGATGGACTTAGCCCAGGTGGTCCGCGACCATGGGTGTTCCGGACTGCGCCGGAATTTGAGAAGTTCGCAGGCTGTGTCGCGATGTCGCGACTGGCAAAGAATCTAGCATGAAATTAAATTTTTTTTGTTGATGTTTGTTGTAAATTGTTGGCATGAGTGTGGTCGTCTGGTGATAGGCAATTGATAGGAGGTGAGTTCCGATCATAAGGGGTGGCCGGAATATAATTTCCGACGATTTTTAGATTTGAGGACAGTGAACTTTCAGCATTAATTCCGACCACTACAATTGATGAAGTTGGGAGTGGTTGGGTGGTAATTGAATGGGGAATTGGAGGGCTGTTGACCGGTGTCAACGTCCGGCGGCTTAGGTGGCCGGAGGCTGCCGGAATTTGGAGCATTTGGGCTAAAAAAGGCAAAAAATCGCCACTTTTTTGGATTGATTTGCATTTTAAAAAAAGTTTAGGAGCAGATTGCAATTTATTTTTTATTTTTATTTTTNATTGTAATTTATTTTTTATTTTTATTTTTTTGTTTTATTTATATAAGAGGCTATAATGGTCATTTTATGTTAAAAATTGGTAAAAAGGACGTTCAGCGCAAAGAATGTGAAAGGTAAAGACGTTCTACGCCAAAAAACGAAAGGTAGGGACGTTTTCCACAAACACCTTTAAAGGTAGGGACGTTTTACGCCAATTACCCTTTTAATATCATAGTGGAGTTTGCAAAAGAATTAGCTAATATGAGCTTTGAGATTTCTATCTTAAATTAGATTTAATGACATAAAAGCATGTTTCTACATGGCGAAGGGAAAAAAAAGGTTTCACGGAATACCTCTTTCAGGTAAAATATTAGTCTCTCCTTTGGAGGCACAATAAAAAATCCTCACATCTTTGTTCATGGTTTGTGTTTAAAGGTGAAAACTGTATTTGTAATCTATATGGGAGTGACAGAAGCCTAAATAACTTTCTCTAGGTTGTCTTCTTTGATATTACTAAGATGACTACCATAATGTGTTATAATTGGAGTGAAAAATACTCGTTGCCTGTCTTTTTTTTTTTTCTAATTTAATTTCGCTATATGAAGGATGTGATTCGGCCTTGAAGGTGTAATTATTGCTGTTAGGCAAACTTTTGCTGTATTTTGGTGTCTTCTTTCCTAAGATCAACTTTAAGAGGAAATTATGTGGCATAATAAATGCTGAGAGAGTTTCAGTTTTTATGCATTAGAAAGCATTTCTGAATTCTGAATACATGAAAACTCTGAAAATACAATAGCCTGTCCACTTAGTGTCTTCGGAAACGACCGTTAGTTGATAAAAAGAATGGAAATGAAAGAATCTGTGGTGTTGCAGAATCAAAATTGGCTCTAGTAATGATTTTTTGTCTTTGCCTGAGTAGAAAACTCTAGCAAAGTACGGGGTTGATCCACATTATGATGTTTGTCCCAAGAATTAGAGTAGTCCAGCTTCTTAGGCTACTACCACAAAATTATGGATTGACAAGCATTGAATTGTGGGTATTCTTTTAATTTGGCGTTCTGCTTGTACGAGTACAAATTTCCCAAACAGATATACTAGACTGGTGAGATCCATATTATTATTTATTGTGCTCACCTTATTTAATGACAAGATCATCTAAAAGATTGAGCCAGCAAAAATTGGAGAATATTGTTTCATGTCTTCAAGACTCTCAGTCAAGTGTGAAGTGAATTATTTTATAAAATTGCCATAGCAAGTACAATTACTGTAAAAAGTCATAATGAGATTTGATGCTAGGACTTCTGCTTGCTCAATTATCCTAATATTATTAGAGTAAGTTCAAAACACACCACTCCTAATGATCAATTTTATTTCTGAAATCTTGTCATGTATATGCACAATTGAAAGGTCGAAGACTCGAAGCATATCCGTTCAGGTTTATTTTCCAACATGCACGTTGAGAAAATACTATTCACACGACTCTGAAGAGGAAGGTCTCTGACATGCTGTTGAAGATCCTTAACTATGGTTTCGTGATACTACAATAAGATGATTAAATCAATATACTTGCTAGTGCATAACTCTGGAGAAGGAATTTATCATATATACAACTAGGATTCTTCATCTTCATTGACATAACACCTTTGATGTCTGATGTAACATTGAGCAAAGTAAAACAAGATACATAAACAAAATTTATAGGTTTACATCGATAATGACATAATGTTAGGTCTTAAATGGTATTTTCACCGATCATGGCGTATCTTTTGTTTTTCTTCTCTCTCACTATCCTCTATCAGTCTTACTCTTGTTGCAAAATATATATATTTACACATGCACAAATACAGCAATGGGATTGTGAGCAATTGAACTCACATCTCTCTAACTTTGTAGCTTCTATTCCAACTTCGGCTAATTTTAGGTTTTTGTTCTTCTAATTATTGGTATACTTGATTGTGTTATTTTAGCCACCTGACTGCTACTTGGTGCTAGCCTCTTCCAGTTAAATTTTTGTGTTGTGATGTTTACACAGCATTTGCATTTTGAAAATGGAACATCCGTGTTGTTACACAATTGGGTTTATCAGTATTGCTCCTTTAAACCTTTACCAGAGAAAATGATATATAGACAGACGCTGATAGAAAAAAGCAAACTAGGAGTTCAGTTTTTGTTGTAGTTTTTCATGCTATGTCAAATTTTTGAGGTTCTTCTGATTTTCTGAATGTCAGATGACATTGCTTATTGACCGAGCTATTTGTGAACTAACAGATCCAGTCGGAGAGGAAAGCAAGATCTTTGAAAGATCAGTGGTCCTCTGTCGCCGCAATTGTAGAGGACTTGACACTTAAGAAACAGGAATTGATGAAACAATTTTCAGATATAAAGGCACAGATTGAGAAGATCACTGGTGAGATTTCAGGACATGGCCATTTTGTCAATGCTATAAATGCCTTGACTCTCGATGAACAAGATTTATCACAAAGAAAGCTTACAGAGTACCAGACAAATCTTCAAGCTCTTCAAAAGGAGAAGGTATGCATGAAGTGCTCTTTTAGTTAATTTATAATTTACCTATTTGTCAGCTGAAATCTTGATTATTTTATTTATAGTTAATGAAAGTACTCATATATGCATATTACATTGTACTGTTTATCCCTTCTAAGAAGTAAGAATTTACTTAAGTCTAGTTACTACATTTTTAACTAACAAAATGAAGTTCCCCCTTTAGATAAGTGTATTTTAAACTTGCAGATATCTTTTACGCCAAAACGTTTCCAAATGCAACACTAGGTAGTGGAGAAATCTCATAGTGAAGCAACATATATTACGTTAACTGCAATTCTACCATATTTTTCCTTTACTCTCGTAAATCTGAATTTTGTGTCTTCCTTTCTTGTCTGCAACTGTGTCTGAATTTGGTGTCTGCTTCATGTCATGTTTGTAATGCGTCCATGCCTTTTAGCTCAGTACTAAGAATGGCTGGGACAACAAGCACTCATCTCGTTTGTATTTGGAGGCCTGTTGTAGTGACTAGATCATGGAAATTAGGAGGGCTAGTTAGTAGCGACTAGCACAATATCTGAAGAAACCATCTGCAATGACATGATATAAACATTTTCATGTAAAGCTTCGATATAGGCACATGCATGACTGATGAATTTAAGTTATTAATATGAAGGATGTGTCATTTTTATCATCTGCAGTCTGAACGCCTCCAGAAAGTCCTGGATTATGTCAATGAAGTGCACTCCTTATGTGCTGTACTGGGTTTGGACTTCACAAAAACTGTGAATGATGTGCATCCTAGCTTAAATGTAACAAACATGGAACAGTCCAGAAATATCAGTGACAGCACATTAGAGGGTCTAAATCAGGTCATCATGAGGTTAAAAACTGAGAAGAAATTTCGATATCAGAAGGTATTCTGCCTCTCTAATTATCCTGTGTTGGCCCCTTTTTGATTTTTCATACTACACTATAATTATTGCAGCTGAAAGATGTTGCTGGGTCACTCTTTGACCTCTGGAATTTAATGGACGCAACAAAAGAAGAGAAGATTAAGTTCTTGAGAATTACTTCGATTCTTGATTTGACAGAATCAGCAATTGTGGAACCAGGTTCTCTTTCAATGGAGATTATTGAACAGGTTTGAAAGTATCATCATCACACCCGCCAACTCTCCTTCATCTAGTTGAACCTAGGTTCCTTTAATATGATTTTCTTCTTTCAGGCATCAGCGGAGGTTGAGAGGCTAACTAAACTTAAAGCAAGCAGGATGAAAGAACTTGTCATGAAGAAGAGGTCAGAGTTAGAGTATATATGCTGCAAAAACCATATTCAACCTGATTCAAGCACGGCTGCTGATAAAACTAATGCTATGATAGACTCTGGTAAGGAATCTCGTTCTCATGTGATACTCCCCTTTTGCCAGCGATTTAACCTGCTCTGTTTCCTTTCCAGTAAATACTTTGCGATTTTTGTAGGTCTTGTGAGTCCTTGTGAGCTCTTGACAAACATTGAAGCACAAATAGAAAAAGCAAAAAATGAAGCTTTGAGCCGTAAAGAGATAATGGATAGGATATACCGTTGGCTTTCTGCCTGTGATGAGGAAAATTGGCTTGAAAATTATAATCGAGTAAGCTCCAATGTAGTAGGATCATAAAATTGTACGCTGATTTTAAAGCTTCCCATTTAGTCTAGCTTGTGGATGTATGTTCACATACATATTTACTATTCACAATACATTGTCGTTAGAGGTGAGAATCTTTCTGAGAATGTTCTAATCACTTTTGTGATTATCAGGATGAGAACCGTTACAGTGCTGGAAGAGGCACACACATAAACCTAAAGCGTGCAGAACGAGCTCGAATTACCATAAATAAGATTCCAGGTAAGTTTTAGAGCCTTCTGTTGTCTTCTCTTGACTGAGCTGGTATTACTTTTGGATCTAATGGGCTGTGATTTCAGCAATGGTTGATAATCTGATTAGCAAGACACTAGCATGGGAGGATGAGCAAAAGAAACTGTTTCTTTATGATGGCGTAATTTTTTCTGAATTTTGTGTCAAGCAGTTTGAAAATCTATAAAATATTTGCTATGTTGGTCGACTTGATTTGATTTGATTATTCTTTTGTCTACAGGTGCGTTTGGTTTCAATTTTGGAGGAGTACAAGCTAACCAGACTGCAAAAAGAACAGGAAAAAAAGCGAGCTAGAGTAATTTTTTTCATGGATAAAATTAAGTAATTTGTGTTACTGTGGTTTGTATTCGGCAAAGTTATTAAGGGAAGGAAGGTTTTTCTGGTTTGGGGAGTCAGAGGGAGGCTTTATTCTGTTTGGAAAATACATGTCCGTGCACAAGCATGTTTAATAAAAGTCACCTTATGGCTTGGACAAAATATGTAAACCATGTTGATGGTTTGGAGTCAACATGAATGAAATTACTTAACAAAAGCATTGCCTTAACCATTTTCAATATACTTTAATACAGTCATGTGAGAGATGGCAATGAAGTTTCTCTGATGTTATATATATTTACCTCTGCTCAGGATCAAAAGAAACTCCATGATATGCTACTTGCTGAAAAAGAAGCCATGTACGGTTCTAAACCAAGTCCAAGGAGAAGCAACGGCTTCAGAAAGACAAATGATTACCATGTCAATGGAAATGGATCGGTGACTCCCTCACCCCGTCGAATGTCGTTGGGAAGTGCAACTCCAGAGCTCTCAACACCCCGCTCCTATTCTGGGCGCCAAAATACGTACTTTAAGGAAATGAGAAGGCTTTCTACTGCGCCCCTCAACTTTGTGGCGATAGCAAAAGAAGATACCATGTCATTTTCATCTGTTTGTGGTTCCGAGCCTGAGTCTCCGCCTCAGAACCAATAGTAAACATTGACTGGTATGTCTTGCCTTTTCTAATCTATGCAGTACTGCCTTAAAAACTTTTTAATTTTTCTGCCTGATGCAAATCGAACATATGAATTGTGTTACATTTTTTTTTGTGGGATCCAAGTATATTATATATCAGGTCATTCTAAAATTAATTTAATTAAATATTTACAGAATGAGGATTTTGTCAACTTATATTTGATAGATTGGCTACAAAATTATATATTTGAACTCGTCTCCATAGTTTTACACATGCACCAATGTTGGTTAATTTTTAACTAGTAGTTTAAAAATAATGTATTCTGCATTCTATTTCATCCTTGGTGATTTATTACAGCTTGTGGTATGAGTACAGAAAGGAATAAGAGTACTTAGTGGTCTCATGATTTAGGTATTAGAGTTACTGGCACTATAACAGCCAAGTAAAATGCTAATCCAAATATTACACGTATCATGCATCCTGTATCTAGCTTCAAATGTATAAAGACTGTTCAGTCAGGAATTGCATGTTAAAGTATAATTTTTTATTATTTTTATATTTATTTTTATTTTTTGAAAATACACATGGTATGCACAGATTAACCATGGAACTCGATAAGAGTTTTCTCGTACTTTAATGAGATACATTAAGTCCCTCCCCCAACCAAGGTCCTAGTCTGCCACTGGTTTCGACTGCATTTCTTGAGAAGCTTACAACTTGATAAATTTCTAGTTTTTTATTTATTGCTTGATATTCTGTGCAGAGAAACATGTGAAAAGAGCACAGTGAACAGTTTGTGAATATGGCAATGTGAAGTAGAATATGATTAAGATGTGTTGGGTGTAGGACAGTGGTAAGTTGCATTTAAACAGCCTGTTGAATTGAAGTGCAAGGTGATGCTAAGCTCTAGTGCTAGTAGTTTGTTGTTTGTAAGAATAGGCAAATATTGTGTTGGAATTAGGATTTGCTGACCGTGTACTGAGGTTTATGTTTTGTTATTTACATTATACGGTTAATTTGATGGCTTAGGGACCTGACTTCGATTTGTTTGTCTGAAATAGAAAATGTATGGTAACGTTTTAATGTTAATAATGATCTTCCTGAGGTTCAAAAACAGTTGGAATTTGCTTTAACATCAGGTTGGTGGCAGACTGCTGTTTACAGAATGGATGGCAATATTTACTGCATTGAAAATGTAACTGAACCAGTCGGCTCAACTGTGAAAATCGGAAACCAGTCCAGTTATTGGAAAAAATTGACCTCGATATATCCTGATTCGACTCTTGACCCTTTATCGAGACTCGTTGAACGTTGAGTACACATTATGATTGAACATAATCCGTAAAGAAATCCTTAATATGTTTCTACAGATTTATGTGCTAAAAAACAAGTCTGTAAACTCGACAAGTGGACGAACCATTTTAGTTGCCATCATATAGGCCAGAGGCTTAGATTACAGTGTTCTGCTGCACATTTTGAAATGAAAACCTCAGAAGGAACGTTAAAAGGTGACTCAAAAGATTAAGAACACTGGAGGGTTCAAGGAAATCTATGCAACACAGAAATAAATGAAGAACCACGCATTGGGTAAAGTGCGCATACTCATTACTCTACTTAATAGCTAAAATTCTTCGAGACTACAACTGGGAATGAGTTCCATTCAATATTAGAGTAATATAATACGATAACAAAAAGTAGCAGGGAACAAAGGGATCTAAAACAGAACAGATCCTCTCTTTAGGCCCGGCTAAATAGTGTGGAAAGTGTAAGCCTCAACATTTGCCGCTCTTTACATTTGCTTTAAACTCATTACAGTGTTTTTCTTAGAAGCATACAGCTTAGAACTGCCTCTATCCCTCATTGTATCTAGACTGCTGCAGGGGGTTTGATACGATCAACATTTTGACGTTCTTCCGTAGTTACTCTCAACCGACTTTTCCCGTCTATGTTGCCATTGCACTCTTCACTTGGCATCTTCCAATCTGCTTCTGGGGAAGTGCCGTTGTTACCATCTAATTTCTGAGAATCAATTTCCTTTTCTAGCAGAGATGGTGAGTCAGCAGTAATATTTTCAGTCACTGGAGTTGATGTAGGCTGATTTACTGAATTACCAGAGCCTGGTGGAGGAAGGAAAACTCCAGTGCCAGGGAGTGGTAGGCGAGGTGGAGGATGCCTAGAAAGTGGAACAGGCCATTCAGAAGAGGCAGGCGGGACCGCAACCGGTGCAGGAAATGGCATGGCAGGTGCAACTGGGACAGGAACAAATATCGGTTGAATGCCGTTTGGTGATGGAACCTGAGGATGAGCAGTTGGAGCTGGCAATACACCAGTAGTTGGAACTGGGACTGTGTGTTTAGGGGCCACTGGATGGCGAATATGATTTGGTGAACGACTAATAGGTGGGACCCAATGGGAAGGAGGTGCTGCTACAGATGAAGGTAAACGTTGAACGTCACTAGGTGCGGTTTTCTTTGGTAGCAATTTTGTCATCGTAACAAGCATACGCCGCTTTCCTATGGAAGGCATCGCATGTCTGGCAAAATCTGCGGATCTTCCTTGCATTACAAGCATGGATCTGTGCATTACAATGGCAACTGAAGTATGTTAATTGACACAGCACAAGAACTCATGGCGGTAAATCTCAATTTTCTTCCAGACAAATGCAGACAAGCACAGCAAAGTTGAAAGGAACAGTTTCAATGGCAAGTAAACCAACCAAGATTTTTTTTTTTTTTGGGGGGGCGGCGGGGGAGGGTGTTAATTGAAGGCTGGTCCAACCAAGATGAGGTGTCGTTGGCAGGGACAGACCTTGGCTGTACTTTTTCAAACAATTTTCATAAACTTCGTAAAGCCAAGTAGCCAAGGGCACATCAAAATCTTGCATACAAAGCCATTCCTACAACTGCAGTGCATTCAATCCTTAAAAGTATATTACATGACAAGTAATCAGTTACCAAAGAAAGAGCACATACCCTGGTGAAACAGAGAGTTTGAGAGAACCTCGATAATCCCCGGGATGGTCCGCTGTAATCACCTTACCAAACGTCATATCGCATTCCGTTAAGAACAGTACACATACAGGCCTACTAAACAACTGTGGCCAGATATGAGGCTGTGAGAAATCACCCTACAAATACGAGCAAACAGATTAGATTTACTTAGCTGTGGTCACAAATCTTTAAACATTGCAAGTATTCTACAGAGAGCAACCTCATTGAAGATATCAATAATGCATGAGTCTGGTTTCACACTAACAACTTGCATAGTAAGCAAGCGATCAATAACATCTTCAAGCAACGCAGGAATGGGCTCTGTTTTCCGATCTGCAAAATTTTCAATAAACTTCAGTGAACGTTTCTACTAGAAAATATGAAAATAAAAATGCTTGATAATTTGCAACACTGCTCATAATGATGCCTTTGGAGATCCCAGAAGCAGATTCATCTTCAGAAGGGGCATCTGTGATGGAGACACCCAGTTGAATCATCTCTCTTCCATGTCCCCTTGTAGGTTTCTTTGAGATGAGAAAAGTCTGACCTGATCATTGTGAAACAAGAAAAGACACACATTAGAATGTGAATACAGGGTGTCAAACTTGAGAACAACAATGTTTATTCACACGCTAAAATAAGCATAATCCACTGACAGATAAAGCATTGTGTATTCAGCAAAACACTCTAGTTTGCTAATATATGCGAGAGTTTCATACTGCTGACAGGAAAATGCATGAAAATATTCTTATATTTCACCATGAAGTCCAGACAGAGACATCTTATTTATCTTTCCTCCACGCCACACAGTTTTTCATCTTCCAATTAAAGACAAAATTCATCCACAAATAATAGCATAAAATAAATGCCCTTTCCACTTTGATAGATACCGGAGCAATCTTTTAAACAGAAAACAGATTCTGTCTGACACCAATTCTCGTTATGATCACTGTTGCTTAGGATTTTTTCCCTTTCCTCTTGAAATACAACTCGACTCTAAAAATTCAAAACAAGAGATCGTACATGTTACTTAAAACTTCTGGTCTGTTCATTTGTTCCAGAAATTACAGAACAACTTATGAAGATTTAGCCCGATCCTCATTTTTTGAAACTCACTTTTTCCCACAAACTCATTTTCAACTGGACATTCTCCAAAAAAATACTTCTTACAAAATATATTCTCAAACAGGGCCTTAATACTTTGAACATGTACAGGAGGCATTGTAATCGATACATCATACTATCAGTATATTAAATAAGTGTATGATTTATTATTTATGACATTAGACAAACTAGCCATCTTAACAGAAAGGTTTGTTTTCATCAAATTAGATGGAAACATAACGAAACAAGAGACTTCACATCACAAACTTAATCCTGGAAAAAGCATCACAACAATCGTTTATCAGTTCCCAAAGGGAAGTAATTATTTGATAGAATGATGCGAATTATTTGCCAACTTCAAGGAGGACACCTGAAACATTTATGAAGATGAAAGATAATCATAATTGTGTGATAATATCAACTACCTACCAGAAAATTAATTTAAATAATAGATTGCTGACAAAGGAAAAAGAAAATTGAGTTCCCTAAAAGTTAAAATGATTTAGGCATTCAAAATCCCATCAGATAATCATAAAATAGTTAGAAGAACAATATCGCGTAAGCAAGGAAGAAGCAGCTATAAAAGGCAGTACTTGATAAAAATGTATAGCACTTGTAAGATAACTCTGAGCTTCTTAAGATCTTCCTGAATTGAGATCCTTATCGTATTCTAGAACCAACTCACACATGAAGGACACACGCACTCCTCCTAAGGTGGAGTGTCAGTGTCTGATACATAACAAACTCTTAGGAACGCATGTCCAACAACTTTTAGTATCCTTTTTGTTTATTTATTTTTAAATTTTTCAACACATCACAGACACTTCCTAAACGCGATACTCCATGTGGCATCTAGTGCGTCCTATACTTATTGATTTCTGATAAGCAAGGATGTACCGCTTTGTAATTTTGGAGTATGAAAA